AATATTTCCATGGACAGCAGATCTGCTGCTCCGTCAAGAGTGAAACAGTTACATCAGCTGGCCTGCAGGGGGAGCTGGTGGTCCAGTCCCTCTCTGATTATTCTTGAGGAGAAAGACAACAATGGACTCTTCCTTTGAAACTTCAATATCCAGGATAAATAGGGTTAGAATGTAAATCAAAATCATGAGCAGCTTCTTCATGTGCACAAAGATCTAACTGGTCCCATGAGGTAAACGTCCCCGCCCCCTCCCGCTTGCTCGTGGTTAATTCTCCTTATTATGTTCAAACATCAGCTCGCCCTGACATCACTCTAACCCAACCAGGAAGCTGACCGATGAGGAACTGAGCATGTGCAGAAGTCCAACACATCTTTTACACTTAAGAGAGGTTTGTTGTGATTTATGGAACTCTTATCTTTTTTTTTAATTGGTTAGGTTTGTTTATGTTGAAGGTTAAAAACAAACAACAGGTGACAGAGACGGTCCATCAGAAAGTTTTATTGAAATCAAACTACAACAAGAAGTTAATACATCACTTTCCTCTCAGCCCGTTAAGAAACCAAACATCAGGATATTCTTTTTCCTTCACAGCCACGAGTCCAGTGACAGCCCGATCCACTTCCTACTTCACAAACACCACTTCCTGTTTTGAGCTTTGGAAGTCAAGGGCCCCACAAAAAAAACACATCAACTATAATGATAAAAAATGACCCCCCCCTTCCAGTAGACCATCCTGTGTTGCCAAGAATACCCCCCCCCCCATAAAGACAGCTGAGGATGACGATGAAGATCACGTTGGTTTCCGCTGACTGTCTCAGGTTTCTATGTTCAGAAAGCTGCTGCTAACCAGAACATCCTCTGCAGCCACAGTGAGTGCATTCAATGATCCGACCCTGCAGAGAAACACAGCAGAGTTACACCCAGAGACCAGATCACAAGAGACCACAACAGAGCTTCTGCATTGTCTTGGATCATATCCACACAGACTAAAAGGGGGTCGGACTCACCACTTCCAGTTTGCTCTTGGGGACTCTGCAGATGCAGTTTGTTCCAAAGTTGGTGTCGCGGGTTTGGATGCAGCGCAGGCAGCAGAGGTTCTCGTAGCCCTGCTTCTTCCACTTAGCGATCAGGTTCTTGTCTGCGTATCCTTCCTTTATACAATACTCATAGAGCTCTATGAGGAGACAGACAGGAAGACATACAGAGAGTGTTTCTATGGACCAGATTCAGACGTTAAACACAAACTAATGGAACACTGATAAAGAATGAATGATGAAAAAGAAACAAAATGAACCTCTGCTGATGGCTTTCCTCTTGTAAAACAGATCGAAGATGTATCGACTCCGCTGGTGATGAAGCCGGAAAATCGGCCAAAGAGACTCCACCTTTCTCTTGCCCTCATGAGGCTCCGTCTCCGCTGAAACAAGAAGAAGCAGGTTCCCAGTAAGAAAGAGAATCAAACCTGAACCTGAAGCGTCTTAAAGCGCACCAGTCAAGAGGCGGAGTTAAATGAAGCCTCCAAACAGCCAATCAGAGAGATTCCTCTCTCTGACCGCCCCAAAAAAAAAGGCAGACGGGGGCCGACCGAGCCAGACAAATCGCAAAAACTAGGACAAAGACCACTCACCGACGGTAGGGTTAGGGTAACCCTTGACTCGAATGACAACACATTTCAAAGTTATCCTGAATCTGGATTAGAAAAGGTCTTTAAAGGGATACTTCATCCGTTAGCATTTAGCTTTGTAGCATTAGAAACCTGGTAGTGTTTTTGAATGGTCGTGCACCCCGTCGTGCAAGCTACAGACCAATCACAGATCAGTGGGTGGGAACTCACTCCCAGAATCCAAACTTAACATCCGCCATTTTGCTTGGAAGCTATGCTAACAGGCTCTATGGAGAAAGATGATAATGGCCAAAAAATATAAATATGGCAGCGGGTTAGGGTTAAACAAAACCAGCCTGTCTGCAGCAACCGTCTCGGGGCTATATTGCTGGGCGCCTGCCTGTCAGCGGCGGTGAGGACGAGGAGCCAGGGAGGACTGGTCGTTTCTCACTGTCTGTTTTCTGACAGGAATTTAAAAGATGCTAATTCCTTCTGGAAGAAATCTCTGAATCAGCTGAGGAAACGGCCGCAAGTGTTGAAGTAAACATGTCTGTAAACCTGACCTTAGTGGGAGGGGGGTAACTGTGAGGGGGGTAACTGTGAGGGGGTAACTGTTAGGGGGTAACTGTTAGGGGTAACTGTGAGGGGGTAACTGTTAGGGGGTAACTGTGAGGGGGTAACTGTTAGGGGGGTAACTGTTAGGGGGTAACTGTTAGGGGGTAACTGTGAGGGGGTAACTGTGAGGGGGTAACTGTTAGGGGGGTAACTGTGAGGGGGGTAACTGTTAGGGGGTAACTGTTAGGGGGTAACTGTGAGGGGGGTAACTGTGAGGGGGTAACTGTGAGGGGGTAACTGTTAGGGGGTAACTGTTAGGGGGTAACTGTGAGGGGGTAACTGTGAGGGGGTAACTGTTAGGGGGTAACTGTTAGGGGGTAACTGTGAGGGGGTAACTGTTAGGGGGGTAACTGTTAGGGGGGTAACTGTGAGGGGGGTAACTGTGAGGGGGTAACTGTTAGGGGGTAACTGTGAGGGGGGTAACTGTGAGGGGGTAACTGTTAGGGGGTAACTGTTAGGGGGGTAACTGTGAGGGGGTAACTGTTAGGGGGTAACTGTGAGGGGGTAACTGTTAGGGGGTAACTGTTAGGGGGTAACTGTGAGGGGGTAACTGTTAGGGGGTAACTGTGAGGGGGTAACTGTTAGGGGGTAACTGTTAGGGGGTAACTGTTAGGGGGTAACTGTGAGGGGTAACTGTGAGGGGTAACTGTTAGGGGGGTAACTGTGAGGGGGGTAACTGTTAGGGGGTAACTGTTAGGGGTAACTGTGAGGGGGGTAACTGTGAGGGGGTAACTGTGAGGGGGTAACTGTTAGGGGGTAACTGTTAGGGGGGTAACTGTGAGGGGGTAACTGTGAGGGGGGTAACTGTTAGGGGGTAACTGTTAGGGGGTAACTGTGAGGGGGGTAACTGTTAGGGGGGTAACTGTTAGGGGGGTAACTGTTAGGGGGGTAACTGTGAGGGGGGTAACTGTGAGGGGGGTAACTGTTAGGGGGTAACTGTTAGGGGGTAACTGTTAGGGGGTAACTGTTAGGGGGGTAACTGTGAGGGGGTAACTGTGAGGGGGGTAACTGTTAGGGGGTAACTGTTAGGGGGGTAACTGTGAGGGGGGTAACTGTTAGGGGGGTAACTGTTAGGGGGTAACTGTTAGGGGGTAACTGTTAGGGGGGTAACTGTGAGGGGGTAACTGTGAGGGGGTAACTGTTAGGGGGGTAACTGTTAGGGGGTAACTGTTAGGGGGGGTAACTGTTAGGGGGGTAACTGTTAGGGGGTAACTGTGAGGGGGTAACTGTGAGGGGGTAACTGTGAGGGGGTAACTGTTAGGGGGTAACTGTTAGGGGGGTAACTGTGAGGGGGTAACTGTGAGGGGGTAACTGTTAGGGGGGTAACTGTTAGGGGGGTAACTGTTAGGGGGTAACTGTTAGGGGGGTAACTGTTAGGGGGGGTAACTGTTAGGGGGGTAACTGTTAGGGGGGTAACTGTTAGGGGGGTAACTGTTAGGGGGGTAACTGTTAGGGGGGTAACTGTGAGGGGGTAACTGTTAGGGGGTAACTGTTAGGGGGTAACTGTGAGGGGGTAACTGTGAGGGGGTAACTGTTAGGGGGTAACTGTTAGGGGGTAACTGTGAGGGGGGTAACTGTGAGGGGGGTAACTGTTAGGGGGGTAACTGTTAGGGGGTAACTGTTAGGGGGTACCCTAACCCTTTTGTTATTATTATTATTTAGAGTTTATGGACCCGCTGCAGCTCTTCCATCTTGAAGTCTTCACTGAGATGTGTTCACGGACCTGGTCGAGATGTGTTCACGGACCTGGTCGAGATGTGTTCACGGACCTGGTCGAGATGTGTTCACGGACCTGGTCGAGATGTGTTCACGGACCTGGTCGAGATGTGTTCACGGACCTGGTCAAGTCAACACTGTTTGTGTCTGCTGGAAACTCAAGTAATGAGCCTTAACTGTGGTCATTGAACACATCTTACTATTTATTATTGAATGTAGGGTAAAAAAAAAAAAACAGTTAGCTTAGCATTGATAGCAATGTTAGAATTAAATATTGAATAATTAGTGATTAAAACTCGGGACCTGTGACTTTCACAGTTTATCTTTACTAAATATCATTAATATATATGATATAAATATATATACTTGAGTATTTTGGTATTTATCTGAGGGGTCTGTTGGACACGGGAGCAGATCTCCGCACAACACCACAGCTTCACGGTAATCTTGTTCCGGCTCACCTTCTCTCATCTTCTGGTCCAGCTCGTCCAAAGTGGGCTCGATGAGTTCCCACCCGTCCGGAGGAGGCTTCCTGCTCCTCTTCACTTTCGGCATTTTAATTGAAAAGAGTCAAAAGAAGAAGAAAGATCACGATGTTTCCTCTACGCTCCGTCTTCTCAGGCGCGAAGTTCTGACGTCACTCGGGAGCACGTTTGTCTCTCCTGAATGACGTCACTGCCCTGAATAAACACACTCCGTCAGTTGGTGGTTAAATAAACTTTAAAGTCTCTCTTTTTTTTTTTCTTTCAAACAGTTGTTACTTTGAGATTTATCATAAAAATAACGATATTTATAATCCATATAATTTATTTGGAGACGTTTAGTGGATTAAATATGAAAAAGAATCTGTCATTGCATCACTTTAACACCTTAGTACCTCGACATAATGCCTGATCATAAATAATCTTATCATATATATTTTTATTTCATTGAATGAAATCTGTTGTCGTGGTGACTGTCAAATTTACTGTTTTAAAGCAGGAAATGTTTTTTTTACTACAAATGAATAAGGGCCTTTATTCTGTTTGTTTGTTTGTAAACAGGCAAAATGTTGGACAGCCCTCAGTGTAAAGTTACTCATACCGAGGCTAGCTGTTAGCTGTTAGCTCGAGCTGCTTCAACTCACCTGTTCATGTCCATATTCACCTGCCAGGAAGACTAAAGTCTGCGCCAGCTGAGATGCCGAGAGGAGGTAAACGAACCCTTACAGCTAGCATCACAACAGCTGTTAGCCACAGCTAGCATCACAACAGCTGTTAGCCACAGCTAGCATCACAACAGCTGTTAGCCACAGCTAGCATCACAACAGCTGTTAGCCACAGCTAGCATCACAACAGCTGTTAGCCACAGCTAGCATCACAGCTAGCATCACAGCAGCTGTTAGCCACAACTAGCATCACAACAGCTGTTAGCCACAGCTAGCATCACAACAGCTGTTAGCCACAGCTAGCATCACAGCTAGCATCACAGCAGCTGTTAGCCACAACTAGCATCACAACAGCTGTTAGCCACAGCTAGCATCAATCAATCAATCAATCAATTTTTATTTGTATAGCGTCAACTCATAACAAGTGTTATCTCAAGACACTTTACAAAAAGCAGGTAAAAGACCTCACTCATTGATATGTTACAAAAAGCAGGTAAAAGACCTTACTCATTGTTATGATACAAAAAGCAGGTAAAAGACCTTACTCATTGTTATGATACAAAAAGCAGGTAAAAGACCTTACTCATTGATATGTTACAAAAAGCAGGTAAAAGACCTTACTCATTGTTATGATACAAAAAGCAGGTAAAAGACCTTACTTATTGTTATGATACAAAAAGCAGGTAAAAGACCTTACTTATTGATATGTTACAAAAAGCAGGTAAAAGACCTTACTCATTGATATGTTACAAAAAGCAGGTAAAAGACCTTACTCATTGTTATGTTACAAAAAGCAGGTAAAAGACCTTACTTATTGTTATGATACAAAAAGCAGGTAAAAGACCTTACTTATTGATATGTTACAAAAAGCAGGTAAAAGACCTTACTCATTGATATGTTACAAAAAGCAGGTAAAAGACCTTACTCATTGTTATGATACAAAAAGCAGGTAAAAGACCTTACTCATTGATATGTTACAAAAAGCAGGTAAAAGACCTTACTTATTGTTATGATACAAAAAGCAGGTAAAAGACCTTACTTATTGATATGTTACAAAAAGCAGGTAAAAGACCTTACTTATTGTTATGATACAAAAAGCAGGTAAAAGACCTTACTCATTGATATGTTACAAAAAGCAGGTAAAAGACCTTACTTATTGTTATGATACAAAAAGCAGGTAAAAGACCTTACTTATTGATATGTTACAAAAAGCAGGTAAAAGACCTTACTTATTGTTATGATACAAAAAGCAGGTAAAAGACCTTACTCATTGATATGTTACAAAAAGCAGGTAAAAGACCTTACTCATTGATATGTTACAAAAAGCAGGTAAAAGACCTTACTCATTGATATGTTACAAAAAGCAGGTAAAAGACCTTACTCATTGATATGTTACAAAAAGCAGGTAAAAGACCTTACTCATTGTTATGATACAAAAAGCAGGTAAAAGACCTTACTCATTGATATGTTACAAAAAGCAGGTAAAAGACCTTACTCATTGTTATGTTACAAAAAGCAGGTAAAAGACCTTACTCATTGATATGTTACAAAAAGCAGGTAAAAGACCTTACTCATTGTTATGTTACAAAAAGCAGGTAAAAGACCTTACTCATTGTTATGATACAAAAAGCAGGTAAAAGACCTTACTCATTGTTATGATACAAAAAGCAGGTAAAAGACCTTACTTATTGTTATGTTACAAAAAGCAGGTAAAAGACCTTACTCATTGTTATGATACAAAAAGCAGGTAAAAGACCTTACTCATTGTTATGATACAAAAAGCAGGTAAAAGACCTTACTCATTGTTATGTTACAAAAAGCAGGTAAAAGACCTTACTCATTGTTATGTTACAAAAAGCAGGTAAAAGACCTTACTCATTGTTATGTTACAAAAAGCAGGTAAAAGACCTTACTCATTGTTATGTTACAAAAAGCAGGTAAAAGACCTTACTCATTGTTATGTTACAAAAAGCAGGTAAAAGACCTTACTATTGTTATGTTACAAAAAGCAGGTAAAAGACCTTACTCATTGTTATGATACAAAAAGCAGGTAAAAGACCTTACTCATTGTTATGTTACAAAAAGCAGGTAAAAGACCTTACTCATTGTTATGTTACAAAAAGCAGGTAAAAGACCTTACTCATTGTTATGTTACAAAAAGCAGGTAAAAGACCTTACTCATTGTTATGTTACAAAAAGCAGGTAAAAGACCTTACTCATTTATGTTACAAAAAGCAGGTAAAAGACCTTACTCATTGTTATGTTACAAAAAGCAGGTAAAAGACCTTACTCATTGTTATGTTACAAAAAGCAGGTAAAAGACCTTACTCATTGTTATGTTACAAAAAGCAGGTAAAAGACCTTACTCATTGTTATGTTACAAAAAGCAGGTAAAAGACCTTACTCATTGTTATGTTACAAAAAGCAGGTAAAAGACCTTACTCATTGTTATGTTACAAAAAGCAGGTAAAAGACCTTACTCATTGTATGTTACAAAAAGCAGGTAAAAGACCTTACTCATTGATATGTTACAAAAAGCAGGTAAAAGACCTTACTCATTGTTATGTTACAAAAAGCAGGTAAAAGACCTTACTCATTGTTATGATACAAAAAGCAGGTAAAAGACCTTACTCATTGTTATGTTACAAAAAGCAGGTAAAAGACCTTACTCATTGTTATGTTACAAAAAGCAGGTAAAAGACCTTACTCATTGTTATGTTACAAAAAGCAGGTAAAAGACCTTACTCATTGATATGTTACAAAAAGCAGGTAAAAGACCTTACTCATTGTTATGTTACAAAAAGCAGGTAAAAGACCTTACTCATTGATATGTTACAAAAAGCAGGTAAAAGACCTTACTTATTGTTATGTTACAAAAAGCAGGTAAAAGACCTTACTCATTGTTATGTTACAAAAAGCAGGTAAAAGACCTTACTCATTGTTATGTTACAAAAAGCAGGTAAAAGACCTTACTTATTGTTATGTTACAAAAAGCAGGTAAAAGACCTTACTCATTGATATGTTACAAAAAGCAGGTAAAAGACCTTACTCATTGTTATGTTACAAAAAGCAGGTAAAAGACCTTACTCTTTGTTATGTTACAAAAAGCAGGTAAAAGACCTTACTCATTGTTATGTTACAAAAAGCAGGTAAAAGACCTTACTTATTGCTATGTTACAAAGATCCGGCCTATCCATCATGAGAACTTTTAGCAAATCAGCTCATGACGAAACAGCCTTCATAGGCTGGGGGGGGGGTGGTGGTTGTTCTGGCAGGCCATCAACCAACGATCTTGAGGAGCCTAAGAGAGCTCAAGAGCTCCCAGGAAAGTAGGTGGTTAGTGACTGAGATTTACAGATAGATACATGCAGTAATATGATGTACTGTATATGCACAGAGAGAGAGAGAGAGAGAGAGAGAGAGAGGAGCTCAAGGTGCCAGTTCCCCCGGTAGTCTAAGCCTATAGCAGCATAACTAAGAGCTGGTCTACACCAGCACTAACTATAAGATTGATCAAAAAGGAAAGTTTTAAGTTTATTCTTAAAAATACAGACTGTGTCTGCCTCCCGGACCCCGGCTGGAAGATGATTCCAGAGGAGAGGAGCCCGATAACTGAAGGCTTTACCTCCCATAGTACACTTGGAGACTGTAGGTACCACTAAGAAGCCTGCATTCTGGGACCGTAATGTTCTCGAGGGACAGTACGGCACTAGTAGCTCCTTAAGATAAGATGGTGCCTGGCCATTTAGAGCTTTGTAAGTGAGAAGAAGGATCTTGAATTCTATTCTAGATTGTGTAGGGAGCCAGTGCAGAGAAGCCAACACAGGAGTAATGTGGTCCCTTTTCATAGTTCTAGTCAGTACACGAGCTGCAGCGTTCTGGACTAGTTGAAGAGTCTTTAGAGACTTACCAGAGCACCCTGACAAAAGAGAATTACAATAATCCAACCTGGAGGTAACAAATGCATGAATTAGTTTTTCTGCATCAGGATATTCCTGATCTTGGATATATTACGAAGGTGAAAATAGGCTGTTCTTGAAATTTGCCTGATGTGAGAGCTAAAGGACATATCTTAATCAAATAGAACTCCTAGATTCCTAACAGTGGTGCTAGATGCCAGGCTGATGTCACTAAGAACAGTCAAATCACTAGAAAAAGTCTCTCTGAGGTTTTAAGGGCCTAGCACAATAACTTCAGTCTGGTCTGAGTTAAGTAGCAAAAGATTTCTGGTCATCCAGGTCCTAACGTCCTTAAGGCACGTTTCTAGCTGACATAACTGACTGGTGCCATCGGGCTTCATTGATACATAAAGCTGAGTATCATCTGCATAACAATGAAACTGTATGGAGTGTTTCCTCTTAATATTTCCCAGAGGAAGCATATATAATGTAAAAAAAATTGGTCCAAGCACTGAACCTTGTGGGACTCCATGGCAAACTTTAGTGTGCATAGAGGACTCATCATTAACATGTACAAACTGAGATCGGTCTGATAAGTAGGATTCAAACCAACTTAAAGCAGTCCCTGTAATTCCAAGTAAATGTTCTAGTCTGTATAATAGGATCTGATGGTCAATGGTGTCAAAAGCAGCACTAAGATCTAACAAGACGAGCACAGAGAGAAGTCCCCTGTCTGAAGCTAGAAGTAGATTGTTTGTAACTTTAACTAGTGCAGTCTCAGTGCTATGGTGGACTCTAAATCCTGACTGAAACTCCTCAAATAAACTGTTGTCATGGAGAAAGTCACACAGCTGATTAGCTACCACCTTCTCCAGGATCTTCGAGATAAAAGGAAGGTTGGATATAGGCCTTTAGTTAGCTAGAGTTCCTGAATCTAGAGTAGGCTTTTTAAATAGAGGTTTGATTACTGCTACTTTAAATGCCTGTGGTACATAGCCTGCCAGTAAAGACATATTGATCATATCTAATATAGAGTTGCTAACTAAGGGAAAGACTTCCTTAAACAGCTTGGTTGGGATTGGGTCTAAAAGACAGGTTGACGGTTTCGACGCAGAAAAAATGGAATATAGCTCTGAAAGGTCAGTTGGAGAAAAACAGTCTAAACTAATATCTGGTCCTGGAACTGTCTCTGCCATATCAGACGTATCTGCACCAGGTAAGGGCAGGAGGTTACTAATTTTGTCTCTGATGTCTAGAATTTTGTTGTTGAAAAAGCTCAGGAAATCATTACTGCTGAGGGCTAAAGGAATACAAGGCTCAATGGAGCTATGACTCTCTGTCAGCCTGGCTACAGTGCTGAAAAGGTATCTAGGATTGCTTTTGTTTTCCTCGATTAGAGAGGAGTAGTAGGCAGCTCGAGCGTGACGTAGAGCCTTCATATATCTTCTATGACTATCCTGCCAGAATAAACAGGATTCTACCGTTTTGGTCGAGGGCCATATTCTTTCAAAATTCCGCGACGATTGTTTTAAAATACGGGTTTCTGAGTTGAACCATGGAGCTATTCTCCGCCGCTTGGCAACCCTCCGTTCCAGGGGAGCAATCGAATCAAGAGTAACTCTCAGCGAATCCACTGCACTATGAACAAACTGATCTAGCTGAGAGGGACTAAAGCTATCATAAGAGTTTCCAACTGGGTTGAAACACGGTACTGAATCAAAAGCAGCTGAAATAGCTTCCTTAAATCTAGCTACAGCACTATCAGATAAACTTCTAGAGAGCACATTTTTATTAAGCAGAGATAATTCTGGTAGGACAAAGTCGAAAGTAATAAGGAAATGGTCTGATAGAAGAGGATTTTCTCGGAAAACTGTAAGGTTATGGATTTTAATGCCATAAGCTAAAACAAGATCCAGGGTGTGGTTGAAACGATAAGTAGGTTCGTTTACACCCTGGGTGAAACCAATAGAGTCTAATAATGACATGAAAGCTGTGCTAAGGCTATCATTATCAACATCCCCATGGATATTGAAGTCACCTACAACAATTATTCTGTCACTGCTAAGGACTAAATCTGATAAAAATTCTGCAAATTCAGATAGAAACTCAGAATATGGGCCAGGAGGGCGGTAAACTACAACAACTAGAACTGGCTGAAAGGTTCTTGAGACTGGATGTGAAAGACTAAGAACAAGGCTTTCAAAAGAAGAAAAATTCAGCTTTGGTTGAGGGTTAACTAGAAGACCAGAATTAAAAATAGCTGCTTCTCCACCACCTCGTCCGGTGTCTCGAGGTATATGAGTACAAAAATGACTGGGAGGAGTGGATTCATTTAAACTAACATATCCATCTCGACACAGCCAGGTTTCAGTTAAACAAAGTAAATCAATATGCTGATCTGATATCAGATCATTCACTAAAAGAGATTGGATGCTAAGGACCTAATGTTCAAAAGTCTGCAGTGAATTTTCTGATTTTTTTGCAAAATCGTATTCATAGTTTTGATTCTAATGAGATTTTGATGATTTACGCCTTTTTTTTCTACGTTTAGATGACTTATAAAAACGGGTCTGGGCTGGGGGACAGACACAGTACCTATAGTATAACTACAGTTAGATTCAGAATTACAGCTATAGTGTATGGGAGACAGATCTAAGGGAGGCGCAGAGAAGCGTGTAAGACTGCAGCTCTGCCTCCTGGTCTGAACTCTGTGTTGTTGTCAAGGTTTAGAATAATAACCTCTGCTAGCATCACAGCAGCTGTTAGCCACAGCTAGCATCACCTAACACTTTAATAATATCATTATTAATATAAATATAAAAAATACTAATACTAACTTGAAGCTGCTGAATCTGTTCATGATGGGACACATGAAGACAAACTTCCTGTTTCTCAGTAATATTTATTGTCTTGTATCATATTCATTATATTTATCTAATGGAGTAATCTTTAGTAAATCCTAATTATTCTGTGGATGGTTGATGTGTCACTGAAGTGAGAGGTGGTTAACGAGCAGCGAGCGCAGCCTCTTTTTTCCGTGGTCGTTCCAAACGCTCAACTTCTCAGAAAGTCGCTGTTGATGTCATCGCCGCTCTTTACGTCATCGCCGCTCTTTACCAAACGGATGATATTCTCCTACAGATCGTGTCTCGTGCTCTCATCCTCCTTGCTCCGCGTCTGGAACGGAGCAGCGTCAGTCATATAGCGCCCGTTAGTAACAGACTGTTGTCATGGAGACAGGACAGGAGCGCTCTCAGGGTTAGTGGAGTTATTTCAGATTGTTGTTTCTTCAGGGAGGAAAGGAGGACACAAAGGTCGCATGCGGACCTACACGAGTCCGGAGGAGATCGACGCTCAGATGAAGGAGGAGAAGGAGAGGAAGGAGGTTTGTTTATCTTTGTTTATCTTTGTTTGTTGATGTTGTTTATTGAACTCGTTGAACACATGTTTTTTATTGTCATGTTCAGCATGAACAGGAGCAGGAGGAGGCGGGAGCTGCTCAGATGGACCAATCAGAGGAGAAGCTTCCAGCATCCAGTTCAGACAATAGTGACGATGAAGACTCAGCGGTGAGTTAACCTTTGACCTCCTGAAGGTGGGTTGACCTTTGACCTCTTGAAGGTGTGTGGACCTGCGACCATCATTTGTATTCTGTGAATCGTTTCTTGTGTTTTCAGAGGAGGAGAGGCGGTGTGGAGGGTTTGATAGAAATCGAGAACCCGAACAGAGTCGCTCAGAAGTCCAAGAAGGTGGCGCAGATCGAGGTGGACGAGCCCAAACAGTTATCAAGGAGAGAGAGGTGCTCGCCATATGACCGTAACCCTCAACACACGCTGAACTAAAATGATATTTAATGAACATCTGGAGAGAACAAAGCTAACCATCGAAAAAACATCTTTTTACCTTTCTCCACACACATGCACACACACACATGCACACACACACACACACACACACACACACACACACAGAGAGGAGATCGAGAAACAGAAGGCGAAGGAGCGTTACATGAAGATGCACTTAGCGGGGAAGACGGATCAGGCGAAAGCCGACCTTGCTCGTCTCGCCATCATCAGGAAACAGAGAGAGGAGGCGGCGAGGAAGAAAGAGGAGGACAAAAAAGGTTAGAAACATTTTTATTATTATATTGATTTAAATAAACATTTATGTAATATGTGACACATTTTCTGTTTTATTTGCAGCTAAAGACGCAGCCTCAGCCCAAGGAAAAAACTTGCACATACTGAAATGATGCAGACGACAGAAGCAGACGACAGACGACCAACGCAGACGACAGAAACAGACGACAGATGACAGAAACAGACGCAGACGACAGAAGCAGACGACAGACGCAGACGACAGAAACAGACGACCAACGCAGACGACAGAAACAGACGACAGACGACAGAAACAGACGCAGACGACAGAAGCAGACGACAGACGCAGACGACAGAAACAGACGACAGACGCAGACGACAGAAACAGACGACAGAAACAGACGCAGACGACAGAAGCAGACGACAGATGCAGACGACAGAAACAGACGACCAACGCAGACGACAGAAACAGATGCAGACGACAGAAACAGACGCAGACGACAGAAGCAGACGACAGACGACAGAAACAGACGACAGAAGCAGACGACAGACGCAGACGACAGAAGCAGACGACAGACGACCAACGCAGACGACAGAAACAGACGCAGACGACAGAAACAGACGCAGACGACCGATGCAGACGACAGAAGCAGATGATAGAAACAGAAACAGACGACAGACGTAGACGACCGATGCAGACGACAGAAGCAGACGATAGAAACAGAAACAGACGTAGACGACAGACGACAGATGCAGACAACAGAAACAGACGGCAGAAACAGACGACTGATGCAGATGCAGACGACAGACGCAGACGACAGACGCAGACGACAGACGCAGACGACCGATGCAGACAACCGATGCAGACGACAGACGCAGGAGACAGACGCAGACGACAGAAACAGACGACCGATGCAGACGACAGACGCAGACGACAGACGGCAGACACAGACGATAGAAACACGACAGAAGCAGACAACAGACGACAGACGCAGACGATAGAAACACGACAGAAGCAGACAACAGACGACAGACGCAGACGACCGATGCAGACGACAGACCCAGACGACAGAAACAGACGACAGAAGCAGACGGAGACGGGTGGTGTTGATCCTTAAAGTCCCACCTGGACGTAACGACCCGTCGTGTACAGGATATTCATATTTATTATTTATGTTAACCGTGTACATAACAGAGAATATAAAGAAACTTGTCTCTTTAACAGTGACATCAGGTGGGGGTCAGAGGTCAAATCCGGGAACAGGAAGCAGAATTTAATTTGATTTAACCAAGAATAAAAAAATACATTCAGTGTGTGTGTGCGCGTACGACAGGCAATGATTCTGAAACCAGATCCAGCAAAACCAGATCCAGCAAAACCAGATCCACCAAAACCAGACATCAAGTTTGCGGGATACTGAGACGAAGGGAGGAAAGTAGGAAAGAAGGGAGGACATCATCATAATGAGACTCATACTGGGGAACAGGGAGCAGTGTGAAAGATGCAGAACTAGGGAAAATGTAGACCATAGATTCTTACACTGTAATAAATATGCAAATGAGAGAGAGAGAAAGAGTAAATCAGAGCGACAGATGGAATATGAACAGTGGGCTGTCAGGACCTTCTTACATTAAACAAGGGGGGCATAACGATACACACTCTTGTACAGTAGGAGGCGGTATGCACCCTTCAGCTGTTTGCGATCCGCCAATAAAAAACCCAGAGAAGAAGAAGAAGGAGGCGTGCTGTGATTGGTGGAAAGTTTAGCGGACTTTATCCCTAAGAAGAAGAAGAAGAAGGAGGCGTGCTGTGATTGGTGGAAAGTTTAGTGGACTTGATCCCTGAGAAGAAGAAGGAGGCGTGCTGTGATTGGTGGAAAGTTTAGCGGACTTTATCCCTGAGAAGAAGAAGCTCCGTGAGTCTGAACAGCAGCTGAATCATCTCTGAAAAGGGGAATTAATTAACCAACCAATCATTAACTAGTCTCAGAGTCACGTTAACTTTACGTCAGCTGCTCCTCACAGGTACAAACATTTTATTATTTAATAGAAAAATGTTTTTTATTGTTTCACTCACGCGGTGTCATAACGGCAGCTCTGACGTCACAGTCATGCTCGAAGAAGTCGGTTATTTTAGCAGACCAAAGATAGTGAGAGGACAGGTGAGAGGAGAGGTGAGAGGAGAGGTGAGAGGACAGATGAGAGGACAGGTGAGAGGACAGGTGAGAGGACAGGTGAGGCGTTTGTTCACTTTACAGGCTGCACCACAGGAGCTAACTCTGTCTGTCAGAGGGACTGATGCTAATGCTAACTGATTGTTGTCATGCGCTCTGCGAACGTTATCAAAGAGAGTGACCTGGAGTGACCTTTACTCCGAGGAAGAGTCAACACAGACAGCAGGACAGATCTTTAGGGTGTCACAAGGTAACCGTACCTGTCAGGGTGTCACAGGGTAACCGTACCTGTCAGGGTGTCACAGGGTAACAGTACCTGTTAGTGTGTCACAGGATAACAGTACCTGTTAGGGTGTCACAGGGTAACAGTACCTGTTAGTGTGTCACAGGGTAACAGTACCTGTCAGGGTGTCACAGGGTAACCGTACCTGTCAGGGTGTCACAGGGTAACAGTACCTGTTAGTGTGTCACAGGATAACAGTACCTGTTAGGGTGTCACAGGGTAACAGTACCTGTTAGGGTGTCACAGGGTAACAGTACCTGTTAGTGTGTCACAGGGTAACCGTACCTGTCAGGGTGTCACAGGGTAACAGTACCTGTTAGTGTGTCACAGGGTAACAGTACCTGTCAGGGTGTCACAGGGTAACAGTACCTGTTAGGGTGTCACAGGGTAACAGTACCTGTTAGTGTGTCACAGGGTAACCGTACCTGTCAGGGTGTCACAGGGTAACAGTACCTGTTAGTGTGTCACAGGGTAACAGTACCTGTTAGGGTGTCACAGGGTAACCGTACCTGTCAGGGTGTCACAGGGTAACAGTACCTGTTAGGGTGTCACAGGGTAACAGTACCTGTTAGTGTGTCACAGGGTAACAGTACCTGTTAGTGTGTCACAGGGTAACCGTACCTGTCAGGGTGTCACAGGGTAACAGTACCTGTTAGGGTGTCACAGGGTAACAGTACCTGTTAGTGTGTCACAGGGTAACCGTACCTGTCAGGGTGTCACAGGGTAACAGTACCTGTTAGGGTGTCACAGGGTAACAGTACCTGTTAGTGTGTCACAGGGTAACCGTACCTGTCAGGGTGTCACAGGGTAACAGTACCTGTTAGGGTGTCACAGGGTAACAGTACCTGTTAGGGTGTCACAGGGTAACCGTACCTGTCAGGGTGTCACAGGGTAACAGTACCTGTTAGTGTGTCACAGGGTAACAGTACCTGTCAGGGTGTCACAGGGTAACAGTACCTGTTAAGGTGTCACAGGGTAACCGTACCTGTCAGGGTGTCACAGGGTAACAGTACCTGTCAGGGTGTCACAGGGTAACAGTACCTGTTAGTGTGTCACAGGGTAACCGTACCTGTCAGGGTGTCACAGGGTAACCGTACCTGTCAGGGTGTCACAGGGTAACAGTACCTGTTAGTGTGTCACAGGGTAACAGTACCTGTTAGTGTGTCACAGGGTAACCGTACCTGTCAGGGTGTCACAGGGTAACAGTACCTGTTAGGGTGTCACAGGGTAACAGTACCTGTTAGTGTGTCACAGGGTAACCGTACCTGTCAGGGTGTCACAGGGTAACAGTACCTGTTAGGGTGTCACAGGGTAACAGTACCTGTTAGGGTGTCACAGGGTAACCGTACCTGTCAGGGTGTCACAGGGTAACAGTACCTGTTAGTGTGTCACAGGGTAACAGTACCTGTCAGGGTGTCACAGGGTAACAGTACCTGTTAAGGTGTCACAGGGTAACCGTACCTGTCAGGGTGTCACAGGGTAACAGTACCTGTTAGTGTGTCACAGGGTAACAGTACCTGTTAGGGTGTCACAGGGTAACCGTACCTGTCAGGGTGTCACAGGGTAACAGTACCTGTCAGGGTGTCACAGGGTAACAGTACCTGTTAGGGTGTCACAGGGTAACAGTACCTGTCAGGGTGTCACAGGGTAACAGTACCTGTCAGGGTGTCACAGGGTAACAGTACCTGTTAGGGTGTCACAGGGTAACAGTACCTGTCAGGGTGTCACAGGGTAACAGTACCTGTCAGGGTGTCACAGGGTAACCGTACCTGTCAGGGTGTCACAGGGTAACAGTACCTGTTAGGGTGTCACAGGGTAACAGTACCTGTTAGTGTGTCACAGGGTAACAGTACCTGTTAGTGTGTCACAGGGTAACCGTACCTGTCAGGGTGTCACAGGGTAACAGTACCTGTTAGGGTGTCACAGGGTAACAGTACCTGTTAGTGTGTCACAGGGTAACCGTACCTGTCAGGGTGTCACAGGGTAACAGTACCTGTTAGGGTGTCACAGGGTAACAGTACCTGTTAGTGTGTCACAGGGTAACCGTACCTGTCAGGGTGTCACAGGGTAACAGTACCTGTTAGGGTGTCACAGGGTAACAGTACCTGTTAGGGTGTCACAGGGTAACCGTACCTGTCAGGGTGTCACAGGGTAACAGTACCTGTTAGTGTGTCACAGGGTAACAGTACCTGTCAGGGTGTCACAGGGTAACAGTACCTGTTAAGGTGTCACAGGGTAACCGTACCTGTCAGGGTGTCACAGGGTAACAGTACCTGTTAGGGTGTCACAGGGTAACAGTACCTGTTAGTGTGTCACAGGGTAACCGTACCTGTCAGGGTGTCACAGGGTAACCGTACCTGTCAGGGTGTCACAGGGTAACAGTACCTGTTAGTGTGTCACAGGGTAACAGTACCTGTTAGTGTGTCACAGGGTAACCGTACCTGTCAGGGTGTCACAGGGTAACAGTACCTGTTAGGGTGTCACAGGGTAACAGTACCTGTTAGTGTGTCACAGGGTAACCGTACCTGTCAGGGTGTCACAGGGTAACAGTACCTGTTAGGGTGTCACAGGGTAACAGTACCTGTTAGGGTGTCACAGGGTAACCGTACCTGTCAGGGTGTCACAGGGTAACAGTACCTGTTAGTGTGTCACAGGGTAACAGTACCTGTCAGGGTGTCACAGGGTAACAGTACCTGTTAAGGTGTCACAGGGTAACCGTACCTGTCAGGGTGTCACAGGGTAACAGTACCTGTTAGTGTGTCACAGGGTAACAGTACCTGTTAGGGTGTCACAGGGTAACCGTACCTGTCAGGGTGTCACAGGGTAACAGTACCTGTCAGGGTGTCACAGGGTAACAGTACCTGTTAGGGTGTCACAGGGTAACCGTACCTGTCAGGGTGTCACAGGGTAACAGTACCTGTTAGGGTGTCACAGGGTAACCATACCTGTCAGGATTAGTTAGGGTGTCACAAGGTCACCGTACCTGTCAGGATTAGTTAGGGTGTCACAAGGTAACCGTACCTGTCAGGGTGTCACAGGGTAACAGTACCTGTTAGGGTGTCACAGGGTAACCGTACCTGTCAGGATTAGTTAGGGTGTCACAGAGTAACCGTACCTGTCAGGGTGTCACAGGGTAACAGTACCTGTTAGGGTGTCACAGGGTAACCGTACCTGTCAGGATTAGTTAGGGTGTCACAAGGTCACCGTACCTGTCAGGATTAGTTAGGGTGTCACAAGGTAACCGTACCTGTCAGGGTGTCACAGGGTAACCGTACCTGTCAGGGTGTCACAGGGTAACAGTACCTGTTAGGGTGTCACAGGGTAACAGTACCTGTTAGGGTGTCACAGGGTAACCGTACCTGTCAGGGTGTCACAGGGTAACAGTACCTGTTAGTGTGTCACAGGGTAACAGTACCTGTCAGGGTGTCACAGGGTAACAGTACCTGTTAGGGTGTCACAGGGTAACAGTACCTGTTAGGGTGTCACAGGGTAACAGTACCTGTTAGGGTGTCACAGGGTAACCGTACCTGTCAGGGTGTCACAGGGTAACAGTACCTGTTAGTGTGTCACAGGGTAACAGTACCTGTTAGTGTGTCACAGGGTAACCGTACCTGTCAGGGTTAGCTAGGGTGTCACAGGGTAACCGTACCTGTCAGGGTTAGTTAGGCTGTCTCAGGGTAACCGTACCTGTTAGGGTGTCACAGGGTAACCGTACCTGTCAGGGTTAGTTAGGGTGTCACAGGGTAACCGTACCTGTTAGGGTGTCACAGGGTAACCGTACCTGTCAGGATTAGTTAGGGTGTCACAGGGTAACCGTACCTGTCAGGGTGTCACAAGGTAACCGTACCTGTCAGGATTAGTTAGGGTGTCACAGGGTAACCGTACCTGTCAGGGTTAGTTAGGGTGTCACAGGGTAACCGTACCTGTCAGGATTAGTTAGGGTGTCACAGGGTAACCGTACCTGTCAGGGTTAGCTAGGGTGTCACAGGGTAACCTTACCTGTTAGGGTGCCACAGGGTAACCGTACCTGTCAGGGTGTCACAGGGTAACAGTACCTGTTACGGTGTCACAGGGTAACCGTACCTGTCAGGATTAGTTAGGGTGTCACAGGGTAACCGTACCTGTCAGGGTTAGCTAGGGTGTCACAGGGTAACCTTACCTGTTAGGGTGCCACAGGGTAACCGTACCTGTCAGGGTGTCACAGGGTAACAGTACCTGTTACGGTGTCACAGGGTAACCGTACCTGTCAGGATTAGTTAGGGTGTCACAAAGTAACTGTACCTGTCAGGGTTAGTTAGGGTGTCACAGGGTAACCGTACCTGTCAGGATTAGTTAGGGTGTCACAGGGTAACCATACCTGTTAGGATGTCACAGGGTAACCGTACCTGTCAGGGTTAGTTAGGGTGTCACAAGGTAGCCGTACCTGTCAGGGTGTCACAGGGTAACCGTACCTGTCAGGGTTAGCTAGGGTGTCACAGGGTAACCGTACCTGTCAGGGTGTCACAGGGTAACCGTACCTGTCAGGGTTAGATAGGGTGTCACAGGGTAACCGTACCTGTTAGGATTAGTTAGGGTGTCACAGGGTAACCGTATCTGTCAGGGTTAGTTTGGGTGTCTCAGGGTAACCGTACCTGTTAGGGTGTCACAGGGTAACCGTACCTGTCAGGGTTAGTTAGGGTGTCACAGGGTAACCGTACCTGTTGGCAGCCTTCAGTTTATACTGTTAGAAGAGTTCTCCCTGTCTTCATCGTCTCAGTCCTCGTCTTCGTCTTGTTTCTGGGTAAATATTTCAGGTGTGTTTTCTTCCTGACAGACGAGCAGCGAACATGTCTCTCCTAAACGGAAATCAAGTGAGTAAAGAAATGTGGAATTCACACAACGAGATGATGCTGGAGCCGCTGTCGGTCAACGACGCTGAGGTTTGTAAGCAGTACACAAATCTGTACCAATAATGTCTCACCTGTATAAACCCATGTATAGTGTTACCTGTACAGCTCGTAGTGTTACTTGTACAGCTCGTAGTGTTACCTGTACAGCTCATAGTGTTACCTGTACAGCTCAATAGTGTTACCTGTACAGCTCATAGTGTTACCTGTACAGCTCGTAGTGTTACCTGTACAGCTCATAGTGTTACCTGTACAGCTCAATAGTGTTACCTGTACAGCTCGTAGTGTTACCTGTACAGCTTGTAGTGTTACCTGTACAGCTCATAATGTTACCTGTACAGCTCGTAGTGTTACCTGTACAGCTGGTAGTGTTACCTGTACAGCTCATAGTGTTACCTGTACAGCTCAGAATGTTACCTGTACAGCTCATAATGTTAGTGTTACCTGTACAGCTCATAATGTTAGTGTCACCTGTACAGCTCATAATGTTACCTGTACAGCTCGTAGTGTTACCTGTACAGCTCATAATGTTAGTGTCACCTGTACAGCTCATAATGTTAGTGTCACCTGTACAGCTCATAATGTTACCTGTACAGCTCATAGTGTTACCTGTACAGCTCATAATGTTAGTGTTACCTGTACAGCTCATAATGTTAGTGTCACCTGTACAGCTCATAATGTTACCTGTACAGCTCGTAGTGTTACCTGTACAGCTCGTAGTGTTACCTGTAAGTCTCTTGTAGGGGGTCTTGGGCTGAGTTTTTCATGTTTGTGTTTCAGGTGTTCAGCATCATAAAAAAGGAGAAGCACAGGCAGACTTTTGGTCTGGAGCTCATAGCGTCGGAGAACTTTGCCAGCAGAGCAGTCCTTGAGGCTCTGGGTTCCTGTATGAACAATAAATACTCTGAGGGATATCCTGGTCAGAGGTACACAATAAGTCATAACTGTGATTGGTTACTTCTCATAAGCTGCTTCCTCCTACAGTGTTTGTTTTAGCATTACAGCTAACAGTCGCTATGATTCATGTGTTCAGGTACTACGGTGGTACAGAGCATGTAGATGAACTGGAGAGACTCTGCCAGAAGAGGGCTCTGGAGGTTTATGGTCTGGACTCAGAGAAATGGGGTGTTAACGTGCAGCCATATTCAGGTAAATTTCCTCTCATCATGACCTCTTCCACGCCCCTCTCTCGGTTTAAGGGTGTCACGAAACCAGAATTTGAACTTTGAAAAGATTCTAGGAAAATGGAGAGAACTATCAGCTGACAATTATTTTACCTATTGTGTCTAAGGGGGCTGAGAAATGGGTATACATAGAACATCTTAGCAATGGTCATACCCCCCTCCCCCTAGTGTAGGTTTGAGTCTGTCACTTTTGTCACTCCACTGAGACGCCCATCTGTTATTTCCTTAAGAACATCGAGATTTTATCCGACCAGTTCGGTTCTATTGGAGCTGTTTTCTTAGATCTGAAGCGAGCTTTCATCACAGTAAAGCACGATGTGCTGCTTTCAAAACTTTTCCAACAGCGCCCTCTGCTGGATGAAGTCATGTGCCAAGTAGAAAACAAGCTGTACAGATTGGAGATATCATCTTACCTGTTCAGCTGGTGTTCCCCAAGGCTCTATCTTAGGACCATGAATAATTAGTCTTTGTTTATCCACACGTTAGAGTTCAACTGTTCGCTGATGAGTCAGTAAGGTTTTTAATAAGTCCTACACACCCTGCACTGGTAATGTTCCTTCTCACCTGTGTGTTTCTTCTCACCTGTGTGTCTCTTCTCACCTGTGTGTCTCTTCTCACCTGTGTGTCCCTTCTCACCTGCGTGTTCCTTCTCACCTGTGTGTTCCTTCTCACCTGTGTGTTTCCTTCTCACCTGTGTTTCCTTCTCACCTGTGTGTTTCCTTCTCACCTGTGTGTTTCCTCTCACCTGTGTGTCTCTTCTCACCTGTGTGTCCCTTCTCACCTGCGTGTTCCTTCTCACCTGTGTGTTCCTTCTCACCTGTGTGTTCCTTCTCACCTGTGTGTTTCTTTCTCACCTGTGTGTTTCCTTCTCACCTGTGTGTTCCTTCTCACCTGTGTGTTTCCTTCTCACCTGTGTGTCTCTTCTCACCTGTGTGTTTCTTCTCACCTGTGTGTTTCCTTCTCACCTGTGTGTTTCTTCTCACCTGTGTGTCTCTTCTCACCTGTGTGTCCCTTCTCACCTGCGTGTTCCTTCTCACCTGTGTGTTCCTTCTCACCTGTGTGTTTCCTTCTCACCTGTGTGTTTCCTTCTCACCTGTGTGTTCCTTCTCACCTGTGTGTTTCCTTCTCACCTGTGTGTCTCTTCTCACCTGTGTGTCTCTTCTCACCTGTGTGTTTCTTCTCACCTGTGTGTTTCCTTCTTCGTAGGATCACCTGCTAACTTTGCCGTCTATACTGCCGTCGTGGAGCCTCATGGCAGGATTATGGGACTGGACCTACCTGACGGAGGTCACCTGACACACGGCTTCATGACAGAGAAGAAGAAAATCTCAGCGACGTCTATCTTCTTTGAGTCTATGCCGTATAAGGTACAGAACCATCCCACATTCATACCTCTTGGATCCAATCAGAGAGGGACTTTCTTCTGTGTTTGTTTTATTGTGACTTCATCTTTCAGGTGAATCCAGAAACTGGATACATCGACTACGACAGACTGCAAGAAAACGCTCGACTGTTCCACCCCAGACTCATCATCGCAGGTCCTTTTAACACACACACACACACACACACACACACACTTTGTTAAATTAGCACAATTGGGTGTAAATTCAAACAAAGCTGAAAAACTCTCCTTCTTCTTGGTCTCCTTCGTTTCCTTCTTCATGTCCTTCGTTTCTTTCTTCTTGGTCTCCTTCTTGGTGTCCTTGGTCTCCTTCTTGGTCTTCTGCAGGAACAAGCTGTTACTCCAGAAATCTGGACTACCCTCGTCTGAAGCAGATCTCTGTTGAGAACGGAGCGTTTCTGATGGGAGACATGGCTCATATCAGCGGGCTGGTGGCTGCAGGTGTCGTACCTTCACCTTTTGAATTCTGTGACATCGTTTCTACGACAACACACAAAACACTGCGAGGCTGCCGCGCGGGACTCATCTTCTATAGGAAAGGTGAGAATTAAAGAGGACGCCGCATCCAGAAGTCCTTTTAGTGTAGTTCATGTCTCACCTGTCCGTCTCTGATGGTCCTCCTCCAGGTGTGCGGAGCGTGGACGCTAAAGGAAAAGAGACTCTGTTCAACCTGGAGTCTCTGATCAACCAGGCGGTGTTTCCAGGGCTGCAGGGAGGACCTCACAACCATGCCATCGCAGGTACATCTCAGAGCGTTACGTCATCTTAGTGTCTGTAAGTAAGTGTTTCTCATGAAGCTGTTTCCCTCCTGCAGGGGTCGCTGTTGCTCTCAAACAGGCCATGACTCCAGAGTTCAGAGCCTATCAGAAGCAGGTTTTGGCTAACTGCAAAGCTCTGTCCAGCGCTCTGATCGACCACGACTATAAGATTGTCACTGGTAGGTCAACAGAACATGATGTCATGATGATGTCATAATGATGTCACCTCTGCCAAAGTATTTTAATCTACAATCTCTGATGATTCAAATCAATAAATGGCCCAATGTTCGTTGTCTAAGAAATCTGTTTGTTTCCATGGTAACAGAAAGTTTTAAATTCAGTTTTCATGACGTCCAGAAGTTTGTTTCTTAAATCCATTTGATATAAAGAGATGGAGCCTCTCTTAAATCTTTATATATGTCACAGTGTAGGAGGAAGTGACATTCTGTCTCCTCTCTCTCCTCTGTCTCTCTCTCTGTCTCCACTTTCTCTCTCTCTCTCTCTCTCTCTCTCTCTCTCTCTCTGTCTCCACTTTCTCTCTCCTCTCTCTCTCTCTCTCTCTCTCTGTCTCCTCTCTCTCTCTCTCTCTCTCTGTCTCCTCTCTCTCTCTCTCTCTCTCTGTCTCCACTTTCTCTCTCTCTGTCTCCTCTCTCTCTCTGTCTCCACTTTCTCTCTCCTCTCTCTCTGTCTCCACTTTCTCTCTCCTCTCTCTGTCTCCACTGTCTCTCTCCTCTCTCTCTGTCTCCACTTTCTCTCTCCTCTCTCTGTCTCCTCTCTCTCTCTGTCTCCACTTTCTCTCTCTCTGTCTCCTCTCTCTCTCTCTCTCTGTCTCCACTTTCTCTCTCCTCTCTCTGTCTCCACTGTCTCTCTCCTCTCTCTCTGTCTCCACTTTCTCTCTCTCTCTCTCTGTCTCCTCTCTCTCTCTGTCTCCACTTTCTCTCTCTCTGTCTCCTCTCTCTCTCTCTCTCTGTCTCCACTTTCTCTCTCCTCTCTCTGTCTCCACTGTCTCTCTCCTCTCTCTCTGTCTCCACTTTCTCTCTCCTCTCTCTCTGTCTCCACTTTCTCTCTCCTCTCTCTCTGTCTCCACTTTCTCTCTCCTCTCTCTGTCTCCACTTTCTCTCTCTCTGTCTCCACTGTCTCTCTCTCTATCTCCACTTTCTCTCTCTGTCTCCACTGTCTCTCTCCTCTCTCTCTCTCTGTCTCCACTTTCTCTCTCCTCTCTCTCTGTCTCCACTTTCTCTCTCTCTGTCTCCACTTTCTCTCTCCTCTCTTTCTCTCTGTCTCCACTTTCTCTCTCCTCTCTCTCTCTCTCTCTCTCTCTCTCTCTCTGTCTCCACTTTCTCTCTCCTCTCTCTCTCTCTGAGTGAGTTGTCCTCACTGTCCTGCCTAAAAAAGGTGACCTTTGTGAAATAAAGAACTGGAGGCCAGTAAGTCTGCTTTGTGCAGATTATAAAATCTTTTCCAAAGTGTTGGCCAATAGATTAAGAAAAGTGAGGGAGCAAGTAATACATGTTGATCAGTCATACTGCATCCCTGGCAGATCAATTAGGGACAATATATCCCTCATTAGAGATTATTTGGAAGTCTCTAGCTCGGTAGATGTTAAGTTTGGTCTGATTTCTCTTGACCAAGAGAAGGCATTTGATCGGGTGGAGCATAAGTATTTGTGGAACACCTTTGAGGCTTTTGGTTTCTCCCCCAGTTTCATTGCCTTGATAAAAACTCTGTATCGTGACATTGAAAGTGTATTGAAGGTTAATGGTGGTTTAAGCGCTCCTTTTAATATCAATAGAGGGATTCGGCAGGGCTGTGCAATGTCTGGCATGCTTTATTCTATAGCCATTGAACCCATGTTGTGTCAGATAAGAAAACAGTTAACAGGGTTTAATTTAAAGGAGAATCTTATACCCATGCATCTGTCAGCATATGCAGATGACATCATGGTTGCTGTCACAGATAATAGTGATGTCAAAAAGCTTATTCACATCACAGAGTGCTTTGGGGAAATTTCCTCCTCGAAGGTAAACTGGGGTAAAAGTACAGCCTTGTTAGGAGGAAAATGGCGAGGGAATGAACCAAGGTTACCTGATGGGTTTAAATGGGTGACACATGGCATCAAGTATCTAGGTGTTTTTTTAGGATGTCAGTCTGAGGTTCAGAAAAACTGGGAAGGTGTGATTGAGAAAATGGAGGGCAAACTAAAGAAATGGCAGTGGCTTTTACCACGAATGTCCTATAGGGGGCGCACACTTATTATTAACAATCTAGTGGCCTCCACCCTGTGGCATCGCCTGTCAGTGTTAGAACCTCCAGCAAACCTGTTAATGAAACTCCAGAGTATCATAGTAAACTTCTTTTGGGATAGATTACACTGGGTACCACAGAGTGTTTTATTTTTGCCTAAAGAGGAAGGAGGACAGGGATTGGTTCATCTGGCAAGTAGGAAGGCAGCTTTTAGACTGCAGGTCCTACAAAGCTTTCTTTATGGACCTCTAAATTTACCCTGGAGACACGTGGCTGAGTTATCTTTGGTCTTGTTGGTCATTTAGGATTTGGAAGAAACATGTTTCTTATGAACTGTGCAGAGTTGAATCTGAGTTGTTTGCCATCATTTTATGTGAGTGTTATTAAAATGTGGGGGCTGTTGGAAACTGGGCGTCTGGGCTCAAACACATCCTTGCATTGGCTGTT